CCTTCGGCGCTTCCGTTTTTACAGGTTTCGCAAGTCGAATCAACTTTGGCGGGCCGCAGAGCAAATTAATGTGCTCCATCAGCGCCGCCGCAAAGCCAGAGAGAACGGTCGCTCGAACTGGCCTAAAACGAACTCCGGTAGTAGTTAAAACAATTCTCGCAGATAAGGCATCCATTATGAGCAGCGATTTGACGGCTTTGAAGGCGTTTGGTCTTTGCCGAACCTCTCGACTGTCGGCCGATGACGCAGAAGCTGCCGCTGCTGCTGCTGCGCTGCCGTTGCTGTGCATCTCTTTGCGGCTTGTGAAATTTTAGTTTTTTATCGCACCTTTTATGGCCGTTAGCCATTGGGAATCGGGAGTCGAGAGCAACTGGAAACTGGAAACTGGAAAGTGGGAAACGAATCGAGTGGTGTGGCCATGCATTATTATCGCGTCGAATGCGACAAATCTGTCTGTGGGACGGCGGCTGCCTTTTTGGCCTGCATAATTGCCCCGATAAGCCAGCGGGCGACATGAGTTGCCACGACGCATGCGTGAGGTCCATGGTGGGGAGGCCTGGCCAAACGGTGGCGCCAACCGTTTTCAGTTTAATAACTTTAATTAAGTTTTTTMGGCTAGGAATTCGAGTCTGATTACGGCTAAGTTCAAACAGCTTCTTGCCTTTTCCTCTYCAAATATTCATTGAAAATCWGGTTTCATTTATTCGTTCGTGATTTGATTTCATTCATACAAATCTTTGCATATTTTATGAACTCAATTTTTAGCTAGCGCGACTACAAGAAGTTTGGACGTTGTTTTCGAGCTGCTTTGGCTAATTTTGGCCTCTTTCATCTGTCTTGCTCTTAGTTTTTGTCACACAAATTTGGCTTTCAAATTTTGGTACAATTAAATTATGTGATTTGCACATTTTCACCCAGCAAACTGTTGGCAGCGGCAGCGCTTTGGAAGTGTTTTTTAAATGCTGAGCATTAATTTGTTGGGTTTATAAATATATGTACATATTGTATATTGATTTCGTTGTTTTCTTGTTAAAAACAGTGGCAAAAAGCGTCAAAATTCGTAGATTATGCGATAAAAATGCAAATGTTTTCGCTCACGTTTCTAATTTGTGTTTGTTTTAATATACTTAATGAATTTTTATGTGTGGGCTGTGCTCACTGTAATCCGGTTTTGCGGTCAAAGCTGTTGATAATGATAATTCCGATAATGATGCTATATTGTTTTTGTTTCTTCTTCTTTTATCTTTTGTAAAGGTGTTGCTCTGTTCGTACGTGATCGCTTGTTTTTATGTTACTAAATATAATATATGCAGATGATTCGACCATAAAACTGATGGCGTGCTTGGCTTAACGATTCAACAACAACAACAAAAAAAAAAAAAAAAAGAAATGAGCGAAATATTTAATTAAATTTGAGATTAAGACCAAACTGGTTATCGAAATTTGAATAATAGCGGAAATTCGAACGGGTGTGTGTGTCTCAGCTACACAGTCGATGTTATATTGGATGGGTRTGTTTCTTAGCTAAAGATTCAAGAAGGTGGTATGCTGTGTATTTACTAAACAAACTGTTATGCTGATTCGCCAGATGGCGCCACTTAGTTTAATATTTGAACATTCGTCGAGCTATTGCACCCTGTATAAAGCGACTGAGGTGCATTTTAAGCAAATCTTATTTGGTTTATTTAAAATGCAGGTAATCAGGACATTATGCTGTCAGCTTGGACAGCTCCTCTTGCAGTTCGGACGTGTCGATGGGCGCCTTTGGCTGCTCCTTAGCCCCGGCCAGCACAGATGCCAAGAGACGGGGACAACTCTTTTTGTGCATGAACCAATGCAGACGCTGGCACTCGCGGTCGCAGTACTTGACCGCCTTGCACTTGGAGCACTTCTTGTCGGGCTTCTCTTGGCCACACGTGCTGCAGTAGCTGCACTCGTCCTACGAAATGCAAAGGCGGAGAATTAGCCGACAGGATTTCGAAGGATTTAAATTCAGACTCACCACAAATCCGCGCAATCCGTTGATGGCGTTGCGGAGGATGACGAGAGCAGGAGGCGCGTCCTTCGCGCCCAGCTGYGTGGCTATTTGGCGAAAGATGGTGCACTCGCGGTAGGGAAACTCTCGAGCGCATTCACGCACAGTATACTCGACGTAGTCCAGCTGGCCGAGTTTGTTCTCCTTGAGGACACGCTTTATGAACACCTCAACGAAATCGTTTTTGTTGGCCTCGCTGTCGTCGGCCTTCTCCTTGTGCTGSGCCTTGAACTGCTCCTCGCAGCGCATAAGCTCCCTGACGATCCATGCCAAGTAGTGGAATTTAAATGCGAGCAGCTCGTTTATGTCGTGGGTCTTCTGCATCTCCTTCTCGCACATCAGCGACAGAGCCTTGCGAAGATTGGGCAGTATCTTGAGGAGACCCAACGACTGGGCATTTAGCGTGATTCGAACGGGATGCAGATTGATTTCCGTAACAAAGCTGTGGAAAGACCGCAGAAGCACGACTGGAATGTACGGCTCTGTTTGCTGACCATGCGGCTGTGTGTAGTACTCCAGGCTGGCGCGTGTCACATAGTTGTTAATGGTCTCCACACACGAGTGATTGCCCACAAAGGCGGCCATCTGCGAGGCAGTGCGATTCACGCTGTTTATACYGTTCGGATTGATGCCCGCATCCAGGAGCTGGCGGCACACGTGCGTATTTCCGGACAATGCGGCGAAGTGGAGCGGCGTATAATCAGCGCCATGTTGGTTCAGATTAATGTCGGCCCCCT